AGTTTGTGGGGGTTGTACTGGCGAGAATTTGTTTCGCTAATAACTTTTCTTAGAATTGACAGAATTGAATAAAATTTTAGACAACAGTAGATATTTATTTATAAATTATGTGTGCATAGTTTAGTTTAGGTAGCATTTGAAATGTGGACGCTATTGACGAAATTCTGCAGCGGGGGAAGGGGGAGAAAATTAAAAAAAAAAATAAATAAACTCGTCTTTACTCGGATCTAGGAGAATCTGGGTGCCAACTTTGGTTATTCTAGCTTTTATAGTTTCTGAGATCCTCGCGTTCATCCAGACGGACAGACGGACGGACAGACGGACATGTCTAGATCGATTTCTCTCGTCATGCTGATCAAGAATATATATACTTTATGGGGTCGGAGATGCTTCCTTCTGTATGTTACATACTTTGCACAAACCTAATATACCCTTTTTACCCTACGGGTAAAGGGTATAAAAACTTAAAGAAAATGAGCCTGGATGTATAAATCTATTTTAAAACACAAAAGAATTACTGAAATAGTCCTTGTAAAAAGACTACAAAACGTTGATTTTTAAAGGAGTTTCGGCTCGAGTTTAAATTTTTCGATAAATATAACTAAATATAACATAATGCTAACTAAGATGTTAGAAAAGTATTTGACAAGAAGTTTTTTTCTATATTTAATAGAAACATTAAATCCGTGGAAACAGGTTTAGCACCTTAAAAGTACATTTTAACAAATATTAATAGCCTAACCTCGAGCATTTGACAAGAAGTAAAGAGACATTTATTCAACTAGCATACACATTTCACTCGCTTTACTTTTCTTCTTCTCTTAACTACTGTAGTTTATTTTGTCGGGATTAATTAATTTACGCATTTTATGGCGGACGAACCGTGCTTATCCCTCTCTCTGTTTTTACGACACAACTAAACTGCTTTATAAGGATAAGTGGCAATGCAGTCTAGATTGCACAGGGCCGCCCATTTTATACATACTAACTAATTAATTAGCCAGCAAGTTGTCGCCATCTTAAGCGGATAATGGGTCGGGCATCGTTGAGGAGCCGAGGCAGTCTATTCTGGTGAGCTCGCAAGGAGTTGCTGTATCGGCTTGTCTGTTTATTTATCTGAAGTTCTATGTTCTCCAGACTTAGGTCGTGAAACAGTCGCGAACGTTGCAGTCGCAGCTAGTGATAAGATGCGGCAGCCATCCCCCAAAGGGGTAGTTTGGACCTATTAAATATCATGCGTGACATTATTGTTAGCAGGCGTTAGTATATTTTGCCTTTGGCTAGGGCGAAAGTTCCACATGAGAGGCCAGCTCTAAAGCATTCTTGTAGCCCGTCAGCTGCCTCGGAGTCGCAGGACGCTTGACGATAAAGTAATACGATTTTCTGTGGTACGATGACCGGGTATGGCGTAGAGAGAGTAATTCGCACCTTTTTCTATTACTAAATTATTCAAAGGTTTCTTCTTTGGCATGGACATCTTGTAATTCCTCACCAAATGTTAACTACGAACTGCATAAAAATCATGTTGACTTTATTGACAAATCGAGGAATATTCATGAGAACTGATAAGATCTGACAACAGAAAAGGTAGACAAAACAGAAGATAGAAAGAATCCCTCAACATATCAAATCAAATGATCCGTAATTTAAATTCATCTACTAATTTGGCAAGGTCATATGGCATAAAGCGAACGCGTTATGAAATGTGCCGTTTGCGATTCTGGACATCAATACAAATAAGAATAAGCCATATTCTTAGGAAACAGCAGTGGACGATATTTCAAAAGCTAACAATGTCGAACTGAGTTCCGGCTATAAATGACAATGGCAACAGCGTCAAGAGTGGAAATGTAAATGACACAGAAAGTCCAGCCCCCACAGAGGGAGAAAGAGAGAATGTCAACGAATAAAATTTCACAAACCATAAAGAAACCAATTTAATAGAACTTCATTTGCCTATGAGGGCCATTTGAATTAATGCAAGATTTGCATAATAATCAAAAAAAAAGAGGGTATTTAAAAAACACAAAACCAAATGGATGGAATAAAACAGTCTGAGGTTTATTTTGGGCATTGGATGAGCTGCAATGTCGGCGAGGCGAAAAGAATTTGCGGTATTTGGGTTACAAATTGAATTTACATGTGAAACGGGGAGCGGAACACGCGTACACAACTCGGACTCATCGACAGCTGTTGGCAGCCTATAATCGTCGGAGTTGAAAAGTGAAATTTGTGACCACCAACAGCATCAGCAGCAGCAGCAGCATCAGCATCGCTGGTTAATATGTAGGCTGCGTGACACTTTCAGCTTGGGTTCCACTCCACTCCCCTCCTTTTCACTCTACTCTACTCAACTCAACTCAGCTGAAGTTAAGTTAACTTAAGTTGACTCGAACATTTTCCAAGCTCATCGAACAACGATTAATCAGCTAATTTCTTTATGAACTTTCATTTATGCAGTGGCCGGCAGCGGCATTCACACACGTCGTCGTGTTCATAAATACGGCGAAACCGAAATCATCATTTCATTTCGTTCCATTCGAGCGTTTTATTGTTGTCAACCAACTCTCGGCGATTATGTGCAATAAAATCAAAGACCAAACATTTTTAGAAAATCAATTTGATGAGCAAACGAGCATTTCACTTGCTTGTGTTTACATAAGCCCCGCCATCTCCTCCACCACGGCCTCCTTTGTGCACGCGATTTAACAAAATATAACAGAAATATTTGTTGCTCTTATTAAAGAAAACACACTCATACACACAACACAATTATAAAACATCAAATTGCCGGGCGTATTTGCTTTTATGAACTTATTTTATAATTTAATTACAGAAGCTCGCTCGCTTGCTCGGCAGCCGGCAGCAAAATTAGCGCCGCCGACCAAAAAAAAAAAAAAAAAAAATATTAAAAAAAAGTCGAAATGCGAGCGCTCGTAAAATGCCGTTGAAAAGGGAAAGTTAACAGCATCGCAGGCCATCGTCCAACAGCAGCAACCACAACGACAACGACAACAACAACATCAACAGCTCCAGTGATATCAACAAAGTTGGCAGCAGAAGTGACCGCGGTCTTGGCCACGACAACAATTTGGTAGAGCAAGTCGCGCTTCAGGGATACCACGATGCTGGTGCCTCCGAGCTTTAACGGGTTTTTCAAGTGCTGGCTTTGCTTAATGGTATTGTGTAACAGAACGTACATAAGTTGGCCGTATATACACACCGTATATATATATATACGATATGTATAGCAGTGGTCTCAATGTAGGTCTGGCCAAGCTAATTGCATGTTGTCCGGTTTCTGTTGTTGCTTTACTGCCTATAATGTCTTCATGCTGAGCAATTTGGTTTTTAGAGGTGCTATTTTTTGTAGTCGGACAATTCCGCATTGTTTTGACCGTTGGCTGCTTTTGTTTATAGAGCACGCCAAAAGAACCGTTTGCTGCCAAATTCAGTGAAAGTTCCCCATCACATCTACATTAACATTATGCAAATGCAAAACGAATTCAAAGGAAAACAAAAGTTAAAGATGAAATCCACAAAAACCAAAGCGGTCAGACTACATCTCTCTATCACACAGATACACACACACACACATACGCATCCACTCTACATAAATATACATACTCGCTCGTATATCGGCCTGTATCAAGAACGTCAAAGCATTAAGCCAAACTTAGTCAGCTGTGCACATGAAATGAGATGCTGGCGTCGTTGACATCGTTGCATCGATAACAACTACGGAGCAGAGCAGAGCGGAGCAGAGCAGAGCAGGGGAGCGCCCAGATTCCAGTCAAATTCCTGACAAATTAACGACCAAAGCGAAATGACAAAACATCATGCTACAGGTGTAATTCCTTGGCACGAATTTGATGGAAAGTTCAACCAAATTGCTTAACACTTTTTGCGAATATAATAGGAAGGGTTTTGCGATCGAGCGACATTTACAGATGAAAGAATATTTGGGAAGACTTTAAAGTTGAACTAAGCTAATTTTGTATCTTATCTGTACAATTAGGAAATTATCTGTACCATAGACTATTTTAAAATCAAGTCAAACAATATCTGATAAAAGTTATTTCATTTTATTTATTTATGAGTATTTTAATAAATATTTTAATTCTATTCTTTATTTAATATAGGTAAATACAATTAACTATATATACAATGTAGTCTTTTAATTAGAAACATGTTCATATCAGCAAACCAACGAAGAAACTTAAGTAATATGGTTCAGATATTTTTTTGATTCTAAAGACACTTATGTTTTTCCTATTTATTCAAAGGAAGTGTGATTTAAAGAATAGTCCAGGCAGCCAAATAATTTGCATGCATATCTGTCCAGTTCTACCACAACAAACTGCTTTGGATATAACTTTTAAAAGAACACAAACTTTTTGAATTAATAGTATGACAACTATTTGACCCACTCGCCGAGTATTCGTCTTAAATAAAAATAGCTTCTCTGCACGCCGTTATAAAATGGAATGACTGTACAGACAAGTGTAGTACGCTGGTGGATGAAGAGCGTTCGGCTGCCGTGTGTGTTATACTGTATAGTGTGTGTGTGTATTTGTATTGATGTGTAGGTTGCTGGATACAATGCTGAGCAGCAGAAATAAACTTTCACCGATTTCATAAACCAAACAGCAGCAACGGTCGGCAGCGGTTGGGGCAGCGGTTGCGGCAGAGGTTTGGATGCTGCGATTGAGATTGCGACTCAATGGCTGGCCTGCCTGTTGACAATGGCGCCAATTTACTGACCAGGTTGCTGTGCTCTCGTTCCAAGGCGTCCAAGAACTGTGCCGCAATTCTGCAATTGAGGCGCGGAAAATCCAGCAGCAATAAATAAGAGTAAAGGCCGGTAACGTGTTTCATAAACTCGTTTCTGTGGCAGGCAAAAACATGTGCCAGCTTTTCATTTATTTATAAAATGTGTTGCACGCCGAAATAATAAATAACTATAAACTAGACAAGGTAATAGAATAAAAATTCATAGCTCAGTGCTGCAGCCAAGCGCTGTAGGGCAGAGTAGCTGCCAGTGGTCGCTGCCCCTCGGTAATCACCACCTGAGTGGTGCCCGCGCTGCGTCGTCGTCGTCGACGCCTGTGGTGATGGCCTTCGCCTGTGAGATAGGACACAGTATGGCTGGTTTCGTGACCGTGTTGTGCCGCCGTTTTCAAGCCCAGGATGCCAGCCATCATTAGCGCCATCATAGCTACACCTAGCGCCTTAAGGGCAAGTGCTCCGATGCCACCCAGCCCCATTACGGCCATCATTTTGCCAAACATTAGTGCCACGGCCAGAAGTACACCCTGGCCTTTATCCTTTTTGCGCCCCTCTATACAGAAAAAATAGAAGAAACCATATTTATTAGTCCTTGTTTGGCAATTTTTTGTAGAGTGTGTGTATTTATATCGTGCGCCTCTGTCAAGATTTGGACGAGTTTAATGTTTGACTGTAAAATAACAACCAGCACTTTATGATCCTTTCGCTACACAGAGAAAAAACTACCGTAGACGTAGATAAATCAAAGGTTCATTAGATTTGTGTAGCTTTTTATAACTCTTCTAAGTATTGGAGAAATACACGTGTTTCATAAAACGTTAACAAATTAGTTGAGGCGTTAATTATGTGAAAATAATGATTTCGGCAGAAGTTAGTGTCAAAGAAAGGACTCTTTTTTTAAGAATTTGGCTATAGTTGGAGACGCTGTATGGGCTTAGCTGAAAAAATGCATCGACTTGGTGGGATTCTTTTTCCCGATCCACCCTCCGAATTAGGCTTACGTAATATTTGTGAGTTATTGGGGTAGGCATCAAAACTTATGTATTTATTTATTTATTTAATCTGTAAGTAATTTTTAGCAGGGACTATATTTTCAAACAGACAATCAATCAAAATTAATCCTATTCCAGCCTTAGTTATAATTTAGCAAGAACAATATTTTTTATTTTTAATATGCATAATGGGATTGATTAAGAATCAATAAAAATCTATTGATCTGCATATTAAAATTAAAATTTTTTTTTTTTGAAATATTTGCATCGGGAAATCAGATTCAGTTCCAGATTACAAATAGGTGGTTATAGTGGTTTAAATAGAAAATAATCCCAGAACTCCTTTCTACCGAAAAGAAGTGCCTAATAATCAAAATATGAGCCTTTAAGCACTTAGATTAGAAAACCAAGGAAGTTTAGATATAAAACAGACGATAAGTCATTATTTCAAAAAGAGAACTAATAGATACCAATATACAAAAAGGACCAAAAAGTTCGTCAAGGGGAAGAACATGTTCTTTGCGCCAGCAACAACGTTGCGATTAGAAAAAGAGGAAGATTAACAAAAGTACGAGTATATTCAACAAGAAGGTCGCATTGCAAATGACATTAATAAACACTTTTTAATACTATTTAGTAATTGCTTACGGTGTAAATTAAACGTTTGAAAATAGTGTTGTTTTCGAGGCTAGCCTGAGGACGACATTTTCTTATTCCAACTTGAATTTTTCACTCTTTTAAATATTTTCGTGAAACATTAACACGGGCTCTGAGCTACTTATATCGTTTCTTGGTTAAAAGCAATGCCTTAGAATGATTGAAGGCTTTTTGTTGAACACTACACTGAATATATCTCCCGATTTCTTACAGTGTCGACAATATAAAATTGAGTTTTTATGTGCACGTTTTCATGTAGCGAAGGTTTGCTAGATATGGCTGAAGTTAAATTTTATAGGCCCAAAAGGATTTGACAATCAGCTGAGCACACACACAAATGCGCAAGACCCACCTGCCACATAACCACCAGCATCGGCACCACCACCATCGATACTGTTACGCTCCAGGCTTGTAGTGGGTTCGTCCAGCAAATCAGCCAGCTTTAGGTTAATTTCGTGTGTGCGCAAATAGAAGGCCACGCTGTCCAACAATGTGGGCTGCGTATCCGCTGCATGCTTAAGCATTGCTTCCGTTTCCGTCTCGTTGTGAAGCGGCACAATTTCCAGACCCCGCATTATCACCAGCGGCTTATCACTTTTATTCAAGTTGCGCAGCATAATGCGCAAAGCTCGGGCCCCACGACAATAGAGCGTCGGCTGCTGGACGCACTCATCGTCCTTGGACTGAGCTTCGGCCAGGCAGAGGGCAAAGCCAAGGAGACAGAACAATAAATACGCGCGGCACATATCGCCAGACCGTTTGAATGTCAACTAAAAGCCTTGACAAATGCTCCGGTACAATTTATAGTGCCATTTCTAGGAAAATTTTCTACAATACGTACGGATGGTCACTTTCCCAAATGCAACCACAAAGCAAGGCCAGGGCCACTGAAGCATACAGAGCAGTTGTCCGATCCCCATATGAAAAAAAAAATATAGAAAAAATAATAAGTGAATTGTCACAACTGGAAATTAAAACAATGGTCATGGCAATTGCAAGCAAAGAAATGTTCGGCCTAGCATTTTCGTTTGCGTTTCAAACGCAATTTTCTTCTTCAGTGGCGTTGCAATTTTCAATTTCTACGGTCAGTTGGCCACTGAAGACCAACCACCCGACCGCTCGACTAGCCAGCTAGTCAGCTAGTCAGTCAGCCATGCCATGCATGAGCTCTTCTTTAGTTCAGTCAACTCCGGCGGCTGCAACGCGATGGAATCAGAAATTATACAAATTAGCCACAGTCAAGTGCTGGACGCTTCTTCTATCTAACTAAGCACACCTTGGCCATTACACGGCTGCTCCACAATCGCCATTCACACAATTGTCTCGCTGTCCAAACAGCTCTATTAGCTCACATCATAAAAAATGACAATTTGGCTGCCGGTAACAAAAGCGAAAGTTACAGTTGGGTGGCGTTTTATTTTTATTTTTTACTTTTTTTGTTATATGCCTAATTTTTATAGCTTGAGCCCGACATTCAGTTAATAAAAATTCGCGTGAATTTGTTACTGGCCTACAAGAAAAAAAACCACCGCAACGGACAGTGACTCATTTACAATTTCCTTTTTCGAACTTGAAACCTTCTCTCTTTCAATTCACAAGAAACATTCCGAAAATGAACAGCTTTTCCTTACTGATCGATTGGAGATTAACTCACAAACCAAGCTGCTAGGAAGCCAGAATTTGTTCTGAGGGTATTTTTTAAAGTGTAGATGAAAATTTTCGAAATTTTCGAAAGTTCGAATTGGTTCATGTATTCTAAGTAATATTACAAACTAAAATGTATTTTTGTATACAAATTAAACATTGTTTTTGGTGGCCTGATTTATTAGGGTCTTAATATTTCATCTTCAACATGATTAAACCTTCAGCTTCGCAAAGTTTTTCAAAATACAATTTAACCTTGATGTCACGGATATCTACGAGTATTAGCTAAGTGGTGGATTTTATTTGAACGCTATCGTGGCCCCACATATCTTAAGATGTTCCAAATAGCCTTGTATTTTACATTAATTTTATTTTATTTATTTATTTTATTTATTTATTTTATATTAATTTGAATGGAACAATCTTTTTCGGGTTTTATACTTAAATTATAATGATCTTTCCAACATATCTGTTGAGAAGATTTGTTGGAATATATTATATTGGTGTTACAAATATTATAATCCTTTTAAGATTCTAAAAGTGTAACTTATAGATTTTAAAACTTTTCTATATCTTTCCTATTTCTCATCAAAAATAACTTGTCAGCAATATATGATATTTATTTAAGATATGCAGGATGAGAAATGAATTTAAATGAAAGATGAACAATTGTCTAATTATTTCAAAATATTAACTATTTTAAATAAGTTACAGATATATAATTTTCAGCCAAATTAGTACTCAGCTACTTTGATGTAGACTCCATAAGCAAGTCAGAGTATTTTTTTATTTTTGAGTGTTTAGGCTTAAATTTGTTCAACTACTTTCGGTCCAATAAGCCACTGTGCCTTGAATCGTATAAATGTGTCTTTGGACCGTAGAACTGCTGATGGCCAAGTTCATGGGAGACTGCTACTGGGCTGCACAAAAGCATGTCAAGTGTGTTGCGAGGTGCAGAAAAAAGTGCATGAAAGCCGAAGCAGGCTAGCTAATTTAATTAAAGCACACACGCATACCTATATAAGGTGGATTTTTTTATTGGCAGGCGTGAACACAACGGTATTTGGTATTATTTTTTTGTCGGTATTTGGTAATAGGAAAATGAAGTAAAAGTTATTAAATCGGTTAACGTGACTTAAATTTTACGACAGCCCCGACTAAACATTAATTTTGTTTGCGAAAGAAATCAACGTGTGGGTTACTTCCAAGCAGCAGCAGCAGTATCATCATCATCATCATCACCATCGTTATCATCATCAACATTATGATCGTTGTTATGGTGTTGTTGCCGATGATGATCATGATCGACTGCTGTTGCCGCCGACATCTTAACCGCCCCTCTCTGCGTCTGCCAAACGCAATAACTTTCACTCTCAATGTATTAATTTTTATTTTTAACATATTGTTGCTCAATACATACAACATTTTCGGGAAATCTTGAGACCTTATCTACAATATATAATAACAACAACAGCAACAACAATAAAATTGAAAACGCTATTGAACTGAACGCGCATCAAGTCAACCAAAATTGATCTGAACTCGTTACGTTGTGCCTTGTGACGGCAATAAAAAGAAAGTATCTCGTCTCGCATCTACCGTTGGCAGCAGATCATCAACCAACAACAACAACAACAATAACACCAACAGCAACAGCAAGCGCTCTTTGCTTGGGTTGGAAAGCGCACACAGAAGACACAAAGTTCGATTCGTTTCATTTGAGTTTTTATTTTTGTATTTGTATTTTGGTGGAGTGAGGCTTTTGACTCGCTCTTGTTATGTTTTGTTATTGCTGTTGTAGTTGCAGTTTTTATTGTTATTGTTGTTGTAGCTGGCCATCTGTATCTGTATCGGCAACTTGTTATAATTGATTGTTTGCAGCATCATCATCATTATGATCATCGTAGCTCTGCGGTGCGTTCAATGAGCTCAGAAGCAGTTGCATTATTGGTTGCAGCAACGATTGCATTGTCTTGCCTCAATCGACTTGCATTGAATAGAGCTATGAGTAATCCATTTAACACAATTAGATATTGTAATGAGATAGGCGGATAACTTTGATCGGTGTTATGATCGAAAATCACTTACATTTTCTGAGATTTCCAAACGCTTTCGGATAGTCATTCCATCAATGTATCTCTTTTGATTTTGAGCCAAATGTTTAACTGTTAATTGGTAATTCTTAGTGTGCACGATACATATAAAAATTAACTATATATTTTGAAACTTAAACACAATATTTCAGTATAAGATTATACATTTTAAATATAAGATAGACAGCATTATTATCGACCTTTGACACAGTCGTGGACAACAAACTATGGGAGATGTTAAGCATTGAGCGTCACACCAAATGGATGGACCCCGAACAAACAAGGAAGATACCTCGGTACAGACTAGTGGACACACAATTGAGGAAAGCGAGGAGAAGGCGACAAACGCACTCTACGCATCGATACTGAGTAGCGCTGAATGAATTGAATTGAATGGATTTTCATTTCAGTGCTGCCAGTGAGACTGCCTTGTGGTGTACTGGCACGGAGAAGTCCGCACATACCTAAATTTCCATAAAAAAATTAAAGCGTTGCGCAATGTCAGTACATTTTCGAGAGTAAATTTGATGCAACGGAAACGATTGCTTGCTTTAAAACTCCCCCACAATACCCCACTTTAAAATGAAACATATTAATGGTCATAGAAATGCCAATACCAATCACTAAATGAAGTCAACATATAACTTTTTGTGTTTGCTTACACTATACATATCTCTATCTAATTAACAAACAATTGCCAAGAAGAACACGTTGTTTGCACTATTCTTCAGCAGAACTTTATTATTTATGGATTAGCCTGGCAGGCATAACATTTATCAATTTAATTGATTGATTATAGTGCCAGCCTTTGCCAGCCACTGCTAGCTCAAATGTGTAACTCATATTAGTGTGTGGCTTAGTAATTATTTAAGTGCAATCTCTTTGCTTTCATTACCTGCCTTGAGGTCCAGTAAATATTCATTCTTAAAGCTCAATGTCTGCTTCTTCATTGCATGTCCGCCCATACATGCCTGCTTAGCATTCTTCATTCCAGCGCCCCACTGTACATATTTACCTTTGTGCCACGAAGACTACAACGATTCCGAACAATGGCTGGGGCAACATCAGCCTAAAAGTATACATTATATTCATGAGAAATTACATGCGAGCATACAAAATTACGTAGCATGAACATATTTATGTACGAGTATATATCACAACCCTGGTAGCTGTCAAAGTGACTAGTCGACTTTTTATTGTGCGCTCCGTGAAAAATTGTAGTAAATTCCTCTTTTTCAATTATTTCGCGTATAGTGCGTTAAAAAAAAAAAAAAAAAAAAAAAAAAATCACCCGGAAACCTAGTTTCACCTTGGCTTTTTGGCAATCGTTTAGTATCCTTATTTTCTTGGATTCCAATCAACAATTAATCTGCTGTATGGGGCTGCTCTGCTGACGTATACACGTCATCGAAGCAGAGACAGCCCAGAATTTTTCTTCTTTGCTTGTTTTTGCAAGTCATCTTATCTCACGTAAATGAATGCTGATGAAGACTCGGCCGCTCTCGGAGCAGCTGAGGAAGTAGTCAATAAGCTGCCGAAGTACGTGGAGATGAGAAAAATTTCTGGTAAATCACCTTCGGAGCTGAGAGCAAAAATAACCAAGGACTTGCATATGTCAATGGGAAAACCATACTTAAAGCCGTCAAGCTCAACCAGTAACTGGATTGCCTCAACCACTTGTACATCGACTACAAGTACCCTAACGTTCTCTGTGGTGAACTCTCAATCAATGTATACTACAGTAGCGACATCAAATGGCAGTTTGTGCTCCACACCCGCCGTTGTGAGTACACCGGCTTCAATCACAAACTTAGTTGCAAATCCAACTCTGGACAAATTTTGCTCGTTTCAAATGTCAGTACCCGGTATTAATAGGAAGCGGAAAGGAGCCGTCGAGTCACTAAAATCGGCTCAAAAAAATAAGCCAACTCCTGTCAATACAACCCAGGGACAACGAACTGCGTCCTCCTCTCCGGCAGCGCTTCAAAATAATAGATTTGCAGCCCTTT